TCTCACTCTGTTGCCAGGTACCAAACTGGAGTGCAGTGGCATGATCTTGGCTCACTGCAACCTCCACCTCCCGGGTTCAAGCAATTCTCCTGCCTCAGCCTCCCGAGTAGCTGTGACTACAGGCACGTACCACCACGTCCAGCTAATTTTTGTATTTTTAGTAGAGACAGGATTTCACCATGTTGGCCAGGATGGTCTCGATCTCTTGATCTTGTGATCCGCCAGCCTCGGCCTCCCAAAGTGCTGGGATTATAGGCGTGAGCCACCGCACCCAGCCTGAAAGTTACCTATTTCTATATTTACTTATTCATACTAAAAACCATGAGTTCTTACTGATTCTTCCAACTATAATCCCACTCCACAGGGTTCGTTCCAGCTTCTCTCTTTTCATATTTGCTACTCCTCTTTCTAACAATGTGAAGCCACAACTGATTTACAGTTGACCCTTTAACAACACAGGGATTAGAGGCCCCATGCAGTTGAAAATTCCCATATAACTTTTGACTCCCTCAAAACTTCACTCATAGCCTACTGATGACCAGAAGCCTTACCAATAACATAGTCAATTAACACATATTTTGTATATGTATTATAAACTGTACCTTTATAATAAAGTAAGCTAGAGAAAAAAATATAATTAAAAGCATAAGGAGGAGAAAATATACTTACTATTTTTTAAGTGGAAGTGGATCATTATAATGGTCTTGATCCTTATCATCTTCATGTTGAGTAGGCTGAGGAGGAAAAATGAAGAGAGGTTCGTCTTGTTTCAAGGGTGGCAGAGTCTGAAGAAAATTAGCACATAAGTGGATCCAGGCAGTTGATCCCATTACGGGATCCAAACGACCCATGTTGCTCACGGCTCAACTGTGCTTATTTTCTCAATTGAATAATTTGAAATTTTTGGATTGTCTGTTTTCTAGTTCTGGTGGTGGCATGGATTTTATTTGTTCTTCTTGTTGAATTGTACAAATTTTTTGGAGTATGTCCTAGGAAATTTGGATTGGCATGACTGTCACTACTACAACTACCTCAGAAGTGAGAATAATTTTTTTTTTTTTTTTTGAGACGGAGTTTCACTCTTGTTACCCAGGCTGGAGTGCAATGGCGCGATCTCGGCTCACCGCAACCTCTGCCTCCTGGGTTCAGGCAATTCTCCTGCCTCAGCCTCCTGAGTAGCTGGGATTACAGGCACGTGCCACCACGCCCAGCTGATTTTTTGTATTTTTAGTAGAGACGGGGTTTCACCATGTTGACCAGGATGGTCTTGATCTCTTGACCTCGTGATCCACCCGCCTCGGCCTCCCAAAGTGCTGGGATTACAGGCTTGAGCCACCGCGGCCGGCCTGAGAATAATTTTTTAATACTGGAAGTGAAATACGTAGTGTTACAAAAGAAACCTACTGTATTGAAATACATCTAAAATGTTTATGTTTATTTTATTATATATGGTGGCAGGAACAATAACCACCATAATTTTGAAGTAGTAATCAGCATTAATCATACTTTGAGATAACTCCAACAAATGTAGCGTAACATGAAAATATTTACTTTTTCTATTAGTAACAAAATCACAGACAATACAAATACTACCATAGTTTGTTGTTTCTCTGATAATTGAAGATTGCACTAAACTTCAGTTACAGTTTTGAAAAAAAAAAGATGGAATCTTTTTCCTATCCAAATGGAGAAATCCTTGAATTCTATCCACAGACCCTCTCAAAGCTCTGTTGGCAACCCTTTGCCTGAGATGCTTTCATAGATGCCCAAGTCATCCATCTAACTGAATTCAATCCCTTTGGGGCTGGTAACCCAGTTTCATGCACAGGAACAGGACATATCCTCCTTGTGGCTTCCCTTCCCCTATTCCCTCATCTACTTTCCCTCTGGGACCTTGAGTCAGTTGTTATACTGTGACAGAGGAGGCTGTGAGGGGAGATGACCCTGTAGCCACAACTTCAGACGTCACATGTTGCTTTTGGTCAATGTACTTTTATCCCAGCATCTCAGCAAGCATGGGAAAGCTGTGAAGTGTTGACTTTATGAGCTCAGCTTGTCAGCTTGGACATTTCTCAGCCCAGCCCAGAGTGGAGCGCTCCAATCGCCAGCGCCCCTCATCTGTCTCATAGAGTGGAATAGCACTCCAGTCCCAGTGACCTTGGCAAATCACTTTGTTGCTTTGAGCCAGTTTCTGAGGCAAAGAATATGCCCTTTCTAACTCAAAATACTGTTGAGAGGACAAAATGAGACTTATGTGTGAAAGTGCAGCATACAGTGCCTTACTAATGTATGCCATTATTTTACTGTTACTCCCTCATGCATGCCCCTGGAAAAAATGACAACAAAAACTTTCAACTCTCTGCCCTAGAAAACATAAAACCCCACAAATATTTGTCGTCTTCAAATAATTCCCCTAGGAGTTTAGATTGCAATGAAAGCTACAGAATCTAATCAGAAAATATATTAAACATTTAGCCATTCAGTGATTATTTACTGAAGCTAGATTTGAGTAAAACACTATACTAGTTGAATTCATAAATATAAAATTTCCTTAAAAGGTTTAAATATGTAATTTTGCACTTCCTCTACCATAATTACACATCTGTAATGTATTTGAGAAGGGGATATTCTGCTACGTGGACATTGACTTGTGACAATTCATAACTCCTACACAGAAAAGAGTTGGAAAGACTATACCAAGTTATTAAGCCACAGTAGTCTAAAAACTTGACTATTTTAGAAATAGTCGTAGTACACCACAAGAATCAAGTAGGTTTTCCAAACAACATATTTTAATATTCCCCTGAGGTAATTTTAATCAACTGATAATTCTTTTTTTTTTTTTTTTGAGACAAGAGTCTCACACTGTGCTGGGGCTGGAGTGCAATAGCATGATCTCAGCTCACCACAACCTCCGCCTCCCAGGTTCAAGTGATTCTCCTGCCTCAGCCTCCCAAGTAGCTGGGATAACAGGCGCATGCCACCACTCCCAGCTACTTTTTTATATGTTTAGTAGAGAGGGGGTTTCACTATGTTGGCCAGACTGTTCTAGAACTCCTGACTTCATAATCCACCTGCCTCAGCCTCTCAAAGTGCTGAGATTACAGGCGTAAGCCACCGTGCCTGGCCGAAATGACAATTTTATCCTTTTTTTTCCCTTTAGTTATAGATCTTCTGGGGAAAGAAAGATAAAAGCAGAACCCAAAAATTTCTTGAGACATGAAGAAGACATTACATTGAATTTTTTAAAATCTGAAATAGTCTGTTTCTCATATAGCAATAGAAATAAAGAGTGTGTGTGTGTGTGTGTGTGCATGTGTGTGCGCGTACACACGCATGTCTGTGTGCATGGTGTTTAAAATTCTGTATATTTCTTGATATAGAAAGAAAAATTTACATATACAGAAAAAATGGGGAAAATGCACAAAAATAGAGTCAAGTGTTACAATCATTACTATCTTCTTTTTTCCTATGTTTTTTCTTGAGCATAAATTACTTTTACAAGCATTTTTTAAAAATAATTCAAGGGAAAAATCAGAAAATAACTATAAGAAAATAAGTCCAAAGTCTATAAACTCACTTGGCCTAGAAGTTCCTTATTGAACGCAGTGTCCAGGAATAGCTATGATTCCAAAAGCATCCGCAAGGTATGAACTTTAACTCAGGGCCTACTGATTGTTCTCTGGGAGGCACTCAAAGCCCCTCTTGAGTCAAAGGGTGGGTCAAGAATAAGGGCAATGATATTGCATGGACACAGGAGGAAGCTTTTTGGATCATAGAGGAAGAAAATAAAGTCTTTCCCACATGTGGTGCTCTCTTAAGCCCTTCTCCCTTCCACAGGCTAAGAGAGCCAATTCAGACCTGCTCCTCTGTGGTGAGGGAGCTGATGATCTCATTCTCTTGGGCTGCCCCATGGCTATGAGTGTGGAGGGCTGGGCCCATAGTACTCAGACCTGAGGCAGCCAACCATACAGCCTTGGCACCCAGGCATAGCCCTCAGGTTCTTGTTCACTTCCTCTCTCTGAATGGCTTGCTGTTCCCTGGCACCAGCACCCCATGGTAATATATGCTGAGGGGAAATGCAGATGCAGGCTTCTGAGGAAAAGGGAAAGAAAGCCCTCTACCTGCTTGATTTTAGGCCCTATGCTACCACTAACCCTGACAAAATTAATTTTCCAAGTAGTTCTGCAGCATATGTGGTCAAATCTTCAGTTTTACAGCATAAATTTGCTTTCCTTTATCCTCTGTCCATGGGATTTTTTTTCCACAGGAGACAGGTGTTCAGAGAAGACAGAATTTGAGGATATAGGAGTCTGGTTTGGAACATGGTGCACTGCCAGCATTTCTCTCTCAATTGCTTCCCATGTATCTGAGCCTTTCTTGGTGAACTCACTTATTACCTCCCACTTTAATGCTACTCCGCATTGGGTTGTAACGATCTCAGAATTGGGTTGAAGATTGACATTAACCCATTTAAAATATGAAAATGGAAATCAAGTTGGGGATATCTTTTTAGTGGCAACACCAAAATGCTGTTCTTCTCCTGACAGTTTGAAGATGATTGGGAATATGACAGAACAATTATAATTGAATTATTCATTCTAATAGATTTTAAGCCCATTCTAGCAAGAGGTAAGATTTATGAACTAGCAAGACGTAAGATTTTACTGTAAGAGTCTGTCTTCCTGCTGCCATCACTCCACACAGCTCTAGTTGGTCATGTCAACTCAATGGCTCATGTCAATTGCCATGGCCCTCCTCCTTCCTCTCTTCCGTTTAATTCTTCCGAATACCACTTGGTTAGTTTTTGGATTACTTTAGACAAGCAATTTATCATTTAGATGGCCATCTTCCTAACAAACAATCAAATAAGAGTTATTGTTTCTTTAACTTTCTATTTATTCACACAAATGCATTAAAATGTGTCAAATTTATCAGTCCTGGGTTATAATGCCTTGGTGGTTCTAATTTCAATTTTCTTTTTCACTTTGAACACTCAGGACACCATCTTCTTTTATTATACAAGAAAGGAGTGTACCTATCACACACAGGGGAAAAAATGCTCTTTTGGGTATTAGGCCTCCTAATCCTCTGTGTTTTTCTGTGGACTTGTAAAGGAAACCTAAAGATTGCAGACATCACTGATAAGTACATTTTTATCACTGGATGTGACTCGGGCTTTGGAAACTTGGCAGCCAAAACTTTTGATAAAAAGGGATTTCATGTAATCGCTGCCTGTCTGACTGAATCAGGATCAACAGCCTTAAAGGCAGAAACCTCAGAGAGACTTCATACTGTGCTTCTGGATGTGACCGACCCAGAGAATGTCAAGAGGACTGCCCAGTGGGTGAAGGACAAAGTTGGGGAAAAAGGTGAGAGACATGGAAGTGGGGAGGATGGAACAGAGATAGGGAGGTAAGGAAAGCTAAATAAAATGTGCTCAGGCTTTAAATGGCCTTTCAAGAAAGTGTCTCCTAAATAACAGCTGTGTACTTCTTTAATCTTAGAATAGCTTCTGCGTAGTCCCAAGTACAGGCTGTCTGTGTGCATGAGAAACACAGCCCAGAAGACCCTCGGGCCTAAGTCTCAGGTGAATTTAGAGCTGAGATGAAAGTATTGACTTTTCATGGTCTTCTCCTGGGAAGTGCTATTCCCTGCCCACACCCCTATGCCACATACAGCAAAGGAATGTAGGCTAAAATTTACAGGAGAATATGGGGGCGATTCCCAAATTGCTATCTGGATACCTGGGACCCACTTCTCACTACAGAATGATTCTAGAGCTCATATATTTTCAATAAGCAAGGTTGAAAATGGCCTGATAATTTGAGTATGGGTGTCTCAAGTAATTAAGGTAGAGTAGTGAGCCATTATATGTTTATTCTGCAATAGATTCTGCTACGATGACCGCATTCTGAACTAGAATAATTTTAATTGGCTTTGAATGAAGTTTGAAATATTCTCATGAATAAGATGTTGGGATCCACAAAGGAAAAAACAAATGTCTGGTATTTTTTCTAGTACATCTTGATCATATAGCTGAGACTCTGAAGTTCAAAAGCAATGATTTGACAAGGCTTCAATTTTTAACACTTGAATTCCAACACCTTTAACAATACTGTTTCCCATTTTAAACAACCTAAGCAAATGACTGAATTCTTAACCAAAAATAAGCGTGAAGTAGATTGATATCACTCTTTGTCCATGCAGAACATTATATAAACATTCTCTGGCCTTACCATCTAGCAAGGCAGGAAAAATAGATCAATTTACTCTATATCTGAGATTAAAAAGCAGAAAGACTCACTCACAGAGTTTCAGTATTTGACATTCAGAACCAGAAACAGAATAACAGTGAGAACTTCAACTATTTCGATTTAGCCTCCCACCCTCTCTGCTATCACTTCCCAAAACTGCGAAGTATTTCAGGGTAGGAAAATGACTTCAAGGAGGAAATGGCACCGTTGTGCAAAGCAGGGGCCGTATTTCCATCAAAGGTGGCAAATAAGTACTATCTTACCACACTTCTTTTCCTTCCTCTCTGTTCTAGGTCTCTGGGGTCTGATCAATAATGCTGGTGTTCCTGGTGTGCTGGCTCCCACTGACTGGCTGACACTAGAAGACTACAGAGAACCTGTTGAAGTGAACCTGTTTGGACTCATCAGTGTGACACTAAATATGCTTCCCTTGGTCAAGAAAGCTCAAGGGAGAGTTATTAATGTCTCCAGCGTTGGAGGTCGCCTTGCAATAGTTGGAGGGGGCTATACGCCATCCAAATATGCAGTGGAAGGTTTCAATGACAGCTTAAGGTAAATCAGATTAATTGACATATTAGGAATTAATACCTGCAAACATTTACTGAATACTTATTATGTACAAGACATCTTATTTAGTACCTTTTAAAAAGTCTACCATATTTATCTAATTTTTATGAGTACATTGTGTGTGTGTGTGTGTGTGTGTGTGTGTGTGTTTGTGTGTGTGTGTATGGTTATCGGAGATGTTTTGATACAAGCATACAATGCATAGTAATCACATCAAGGTAAATGGAGTATCCATCATCCCAAGCATGTATCCTTTCTTTGTGTTACAAACAATCCAATTATACTCTTTTAGTTATTTTTAAATGTACGATAAATTGTTATTGACTGTAGTCACGCTGTAGTGCTATCAAATACTAGATCTTATTCATTCTATCCAGCTATATTTCTATATTTCTGTACACACTAACTATTCCCTGTCACCCCACTACCCTCTCAAGCCTCCAGTAACCATCTCTCTACTTTCTGTCTCCATGAGTTTGTTTTCATTTTTAGCTCTTACATAGGTGAGAACACATGAACTTCGTTTTTCTGTATCTGGCTTATTTTGCTTAACATAATGACCTCCAGTTCCATCCATCTTGTTGCAAATGAAAGGATCTCATTGTTTTTTATGGCAGAATAGTACTCCATTGCATATATGTACCACATTTTCTTTATCCATTTGTCTGTTGATGAACATTTATGTTGCTTCCAAATTTAAGCTATAGTGAACAGTGGTACAACAAACATGATAGTGGATATATCTCTTTGATATGTTTATTTCCCTTCTTTGGAGTATATAGCCAGCAGTGGAATTGCTGGATCACATGGTAGCTCAATTTTTAGTTTTTTGAGGAAACTCCAAACTGTTTCCCATAGTGGTTTTACTACTTTACGTTCCTACCAACAGTGCAGGAGGGTTCCCTTTCCTCACATTATCACCAACATTTGTTAGTGCCTATCTTTTGGATATGTGCCATTTTAACTGGGGTGAGATAATATCTCATTGTACTTTTGATTTCCATTTTTCTGATGATCAATGATGTTGAGCACCTTCCATATACCTTTGTTCCACTTGTATATCTTCAGAAGTATCTACTTAGATCTTCTGCCCATTTTAAAATTGGATTATTGATCTTTCCCCTTAGAGTTGTCTGAGTTCCTTATATACTCTAATTTTTAACCCCTTGTCATGTGGGTAGCTTTCAAATATTTTCTCCCATTCTGTGTGTTGTCTTTTCACTTTATTGTTTCCTTTGCTGTGCAGAAGCTTTTTAAATTGATGTGATCCCATTTGTCCATTTTTGTTTTAGTTGCCTGTGTTTGTGGCCTATTACTTAAGAAATCTTGACCCAGCCAATTGTCCTGGAGAGTTTCTCTGATGTTTTCTTGTAGTAATTTCATAGTTTGAGGTCTTAGATTGAAATCTTTAAACCATTTTACATGATTTTTGTATATGGTAAGAGATAAGAGTCTGGTTTCATTCTTCTGCATGTGGACACTCAGTCTTCCCAGCACCATTTATTGAAAAGACTGTTCTTTCCCCAATGTATGTTCTCAACACCTTTGTCAAAAATGAATTCACTATAAATGTATGGATTTGTTTCTGGGTTCTCTGTTCTGTTCCATTGGTCTATGTCTTCATTTTTATGCCAGTGTCATGCTGTTTTGTTTACTATAGCTTTATAGAAAATTTGAAGTCATGTAATGCAATTCTACCAGTTTTGTTGTTTTTGTACAGGGTGGCTTTGAGTACTCTAGGTCTTTTGTGTTTCTATATAAATTTTGGGATTGTTTTTTCTATTTATGTAAAGAATGTCATTGGTGTTTTGATAGGAATTGCATTGAATCTGTAGATTGCTTTAGATACTATGAACATTTTAATAATACTGATTCTTCCAATCCATGAACATGGAATATCTTTCCATATTTTTGTGTCCTCTTCAATTTCTTTTATCAATGTTTTATTGTTTTTATTGCAGAGATCTCTCATTTCTTTGGTTAATTCCTAGGCATTTTATTTTATTTTTAGCTATCATAAATGGAATTACTTTCTTGATTTCTTTTCTGGTGTTGTTTGCTGTTGGCATATAGAAATGCTACTGATTTTTGTATGTTGGTTTTGTATCCAGCAACTTTACTGAATTTATTTGTTCTAATAGTTTTTTATGTGTGTGGAGTCTTTAGGTTTTTCCAAATATAAGGTCATGTCATCTGCAAACAAGGATAATTTGACTTCTTCCTTTCAAGTTTGGGTTGGAGCTCCATCGTATGTTATCTGTTTTTGAGGAATCTCCAAAACCAATCTTGCTGCTTTTAAGATCCTTTCTTTATCCTGACCTTTGGGAGCTTGATTAATAAATGTCTTGAGGCAGTCTTCTTTGGGTTAATTCTGGTTAGTGTTTTATAACTTTCTCGTACTTGAATATTGGTGTCTTACTCTAGGTTTAGAAAGTTCTCTGTTGAATAAACTTCCTACTCCATCTCTCTCTCTCTACCTCCTCTATAAAGCCAATAAGTCTTAGATTTGCCCTTTTGAGGCTATTTTTTAGATTCTGTAGTTATGCCTCTTTCTTTCTTTCGTCTCCTCTGACTGTATTTTCAAATAGTCTGTCTTCAAGCTTACTGATTTTTTTCTTTTGCTTCATCAGTTCTGCTGGTAAGGGGCTGACACATTCTTTAGTATATGAATTGCATTTTTCAACTCCAGGATTTCTGCTGATTTTCTTTAATTATTTCAGTCTATTTGTCAAATTTATCTGATAGGATTCTGAATTCCTTCTTTGTGTTATCTTGAATTTCATTGAGTTTCCTCAAAACAGCTATTTTTAATTCTCTGTCTGAAAGGCCTCATGTCTCTGTCCCTCCAGAATTGGTCTCTTGTGTCTATTTAGTTCATTTGGTGAGGTCATGTTTTTCTGAGTGGTCTTGATGCTTGTAGCTATTTTTTTTTTATGACTGTGCATTGAAGAGTTAGTCTGGGCTTGTTTGTACCCATCCTTCTAGGGAAGGCTTTCCAGGTATTTGAAGGGACTTGTGTGTTGTGATTTAACTTTTTGGTGCCTGCAGACATATATCTTCACTAGGGGACACCCCAAGTCCAGTAAGACTGTGCCTCTTATAGGCTCACAGAGGTACCACCTTGGTAGTCTTGGATAAGATCTGGAAGAATTATCTTGTTTACCAGGCAGAGACTCTTGTTCTCTTCCCTTACTTTCTCCCAAACAAGTAGAACTTCTGTCCATATCCTAAGCTGCCTAAAGCTGGTGGAAGAGTGACACAAGCGCCCTGACCGCCATCATTGGGACTGTGCTGGGTCAGATCCAAGGCCCTCTGTAACATCACCTGGCTACTGTCTATGTTTGCTCAAAGCCCTGAGGCACTACAATTAGCAGGTGGTGAAATGAGGCTTGTGTTCTTCCCTTCAGGGTGACAAGTTTCCGCTACCCCTGGGTGGGGAGCCCACAGATGCCAACTGGAAGCCAGGGCCTGGAGTCAGAAACCTTAGGACTCTGCCTGGTGCTGTATTCTACTGTGGTTGAGCCAGCATCCAAACCACAATACAAAGTCCTTCCCTCTCTTCCATCTCCTTTTCTGAAGCACAAGGAGTCTCCCCCTATGGTCACCACAGCTGGGAGTGTCCTAGGTTGCACCTGAAGCCAGCATGTCTCTGAGTCTCACCGAAGGCCCATGGTGAGTACCTTGGGTATTGCCCCTAATTTTTCAGGGCCCAAGGGCTCTTTTGCCAGCAGGTAATGAATTTTTCTAGGACTAGTTTTTTTCCTCAAGGCAGTGGATTTCCTTCTGGCCCAGGACTAGTCTAGAGGTAGGGCCTGGAATTAGGGGCCTCAGGACTCTACCTAGTGTCCTATCCCACTGTGGCTAAGGTGGTTTCCGAGTCCCAAGACAAAGTCCTCTTTATTCTCCCCTCACCTCTCCTGAAGCACAGGGAAGAAGCCTCTCCCAGAGCTGTGAGCTGTGCTGTCTGGGGTTGGGGGAGGGGTGGCACAAGCACTCCCTTGGCTGCCCAAGCTGGCATCTTACTAAGTTGCTTGCCCCCCAAGTCCACTGTTTCTGAGGCCAGCACAGCACCAGGACTTCCCCAGGAATTGCGGTCCTTGTGACCTGGACTGCATTCCAAGTTTATTTAGAACCCCAGAGCACATGAGCCCACAGTGGTGAGGCTTGCTGGCATTCAGGTTCCATCTGCTGAAACAGGTAATTCCTCCTCTGGCTAGGGCTGATGTGAATGCTCCCTCCGTGGGTGCTGACTGAGTTCTGCCTGGTGTTGCTTTCCACTGTGACAGAGAAGTACTGAGTTCCAACGCAAAGTCCCACAATCCCTGTGCTCTCCCTCCCACCCCAAGTACGCAGATTCTGGCTCCATGCCACACAAAGACGGTCACTGCTGGTCTATGAAGGGGGAGTAGCATCAACAATTCAAGACTATCTTTCTGGCCCTCTTCAGGGCCTCTCTCAGTGATATGAAGTTAAAGTTAGGTACTGTGATCACTCCTCTGAGTTTTGGTTTTATGAAGTTTTTTTGTGGGCTTTTTAAATTTGGTGTTTCTGTGGGGAGGATGATCAGTGAAGGCTTCTATTTGGCCATCCTGCAATACTTTAAGTTATTCCCAATGGATAGATAATGCCACTAAAACTAAAAGAGATTAACTTGCACAAGGTCACCCAGCTGGTAAGTGGTAGAACCGAGATTTGAACCCAAATATAACTCCTTTTTACTTTTTGCCTTAATACATGATGTTTAGAGTGGCAGTGAATTTACATTCAACTGATCAGTTTGGCAAATAGTTAGGGAGTCATATAGAGAGGCTGGATCAGAAGAGGCTTCTCTGTTGGTTTACTGTCAGTTGCAGACACAACAGTACCAACCCATTTAAACCTTCAGTAGAAAACCACCAGTTCTTAAATAGCTTCTCCATGCATGCTGTCCAAGCTTTATGGCTTCCTTCCATGGGAGAGACTGGGAAGTGTGCTTAAATAATCTGACCTGGAACCAGAACTTACCACCACCAGTTCAAATCCCCTCAAATACAAGTATTTTTTCAGTCAAGATTCTGGCAGGAAATAGTGGCACATTAAAACTGGGTAAAAGGCACAGAGTTTGCTTAAAAGACTATTTATAAACATTTGTGAGGTACCTACCAAAATCCCAAAGGATAGCATCTAGGGACTAATGACAATAGGGGCATTTCTCTTCAGAGGACTGAAGGGACAAAGAGATAGGGCAGTTTCCAGAACCTGGAGACACAGAGGCTGTTGTCTTCAGTCACGAGATGAAATAACCAGTGTGGACACCACAGGAGGATAACTAATCTGACCTCCTCACCTCTTTTCTGATCTCCCACTGGCACTTTCAATAGACTGAACTCGACAGAAGCCAGAGTGTAGTTAGTGCAGGTAAGCCTCCCAGGTATGTGCAGACAGAGGGTGGAGGAAAGGACTAGAGAAGCACATGGAAGATATTCAGTTGAGTGGTGCTACCATAGGCAAGAGAGAAGACAAAGTTAGGTATATAAAGTCTGTCCTTCGATTCACCCATTTATTTATTAGACTATTATTTGTTGAAGGCATATGTTAGAGTTTATGATCTATACCATGGACCTAGGTGTAGTTTACTAATAAAAGGTAAAAAATATTCCACTGAAATTGACAAAGACAGAACAGCTCTATTTTCCCATTTGATCAGGTTGCCAAGTTTGATTCTCCTAGGAAATAAACACAATAATATTGGAATAATTCTTCCAAAAAATTAATGTGCATTTAAATCACCTGGGGATCTTTTTAAAATGCAGATTTTGATTAAGTGGATCTGAAGAGGGGCCTGAGACTCTGCATTTCTAACAAGCTCCAGGCTCTGCCCACAGTTCAGGGATCACACTTTGAGTAGCAAGGTCATGAAGTCTCTTTCACTGACCTTTAGTCATTAGTCTCTTTCATTGATCTTGGGTTCCACTCTACAAGCAGCAATAGCATAATACAATTTTAGTATATGTACTTAGAGATTGACTCACCTTTAAAAAAGATTTCAACAGAAGGATTTGTGAGTTTGCCATGCAGCTTTGCCATGCCTAAAAGTAATCAATTAAGAGTTTTTTTCGGCCAGGCGCGGTGGCTC